TACTTAATGAGTATCATGCTAGCATTACTATGGGTCCTGACCCGAGTCAATACTAATTTTAGGACCTAATTGAGGTATCTGTTTTTCGCGAAGATAATCTTGTTCATAAAAAGAAAACGTACAACAGCGTACAGCATCATGGAGCGGCGCTCCGGGGTTTCAATCCGTTCCTATGCAGCTGCAGTGGCCACCAGATTAGCATATGAAGGGGCCAGCGCTAGTGGTGTTGATGTACAACTTGAAATTGATGAAAGTGAGCGGGCTACAATACAGACAACACTTGACACTCGACCTATCAACACTAAGCGGAAATACGACGGCTACCAAAACGAGTTTGTGCAATGGTGCACCTCTCGCGGATTCCAAGATAAAGACACTGTGACCGGTGGAAAGCTACATTTGTTTCTGTCTAGCATGGTGATCGGGCGAAAGTCTAAGAAGAATGCTGAAAAAACCGTTGGAGGCTCCACTGTGTGTGGATATGTAAACGCACTTGTAGATCTGTACAACCAGCAGGTTACACTTCGTACAAACTCGAACCCACACCCGCGAACCACTGCTGTGAAGCAACTGATAAAAAATGTCCAGGCCACGACTACTCAAACCAAGAAAAAGAATTACGAGGACAGGGGAATTGGCTCATTGCTGGATGGCTATTCGTCGGTTCAGCAATTCCAACAAATTTGTGACGCCTTCCTAACACTCAATGACCTGCGAGGACGCGTCGCCTTCTTACTTTCTCATTTTGGATTGTTACGTGGCGAAAATGTTCGCGATTTAGAGTTTGCTGATATGTTCTCTCAGAAGTTGGATGGAGAGGGATACCAGACTTGTACAGCTCTCGTGCTTTTAATTCAACATGGAAAGACGAACACTTTCGGTAAGATGCAGCACGTTGGCTACATGCGGAACAAGGACGTACGCATTTGTCCAGTTGGCGCAGCCGCATTTTATTTTTTTCATCTTTTTCACGTAGATCGAGAGCCCTTCCCGTCCTTTGCTAAATCTCAAGACTGGTATGACTTGAAGTTTCTACGAGGACGTCAGCGGACAAAGGCTATCACTTACGATACACACAAAAAGAGCTACGAGGCCGTGTTCAAGCATTTGGGTCTATCATTTAACAAAAAAACGCATATCAATCGTCAGCAGGGAGTGCGGCAGCTCGAGTGCGCTGACGTAGACATTTCTCAGACTCGTCGGCATGGACGATGGGGAATGGATACATGCGAGGCCATATATGCGGCCCCACTAGCTCGAGAAGCAATGCGTGCTCTTTCTGGACACCCTCCTAAATCTCGTTTTTACTTCCTCGAACGTGCCTCAGTCGATCCACCGTTAGAGCTTCAGCGGCTAGTATTTCCTGAAGTCGAACATTGCCAAAAGCAGATCTTAGATGGAAATTGGGAAGACAATCTGGCTGCTCGTGGATTTCTTGACTTGCTTCTGCACCTTCGCGTTGTTCTGCTTCAAGACTGTGCTGTGTTGCTCGACGACCTTCCTGCCCAGTTTCAACAAACTTCGCTTTTTGGCGAAAAATTTCAACTGTTTCGTACGCAAGCGCTGGCTGGAGCGGCAAGCGCTACAGCTCCTATTCAAATGCAACTCCAAAATGCAATGCCATTGCTTTCAACACAAATATCTACACAACATGCAGCAGTGATGCAAAAATTAGAGACTCGCCATAACGAGATTACGCAACTTTTAGCACAAACAAACAATAACCTCACCTCATTATTACAAGGAGACATGGCATTCCGTCTTGTACCTATTGATAACGCAAGCGCGAGTGTCACTAGCACCAACATAAATCTTGATACAGCCGAGTCTGCTCACAGCCAACAGTCAGTTCCATACCGTTCTTCCAGTGGAGTTACTCACGAACCTACCATTAGTGACGCACAGCGGTATTCTATGAGCAGAGGTGTCAGCACTGTACGCGAGCTCTGGACTGAATGGCACGTCGGTCTGTCTAATCGGCCATCAATTGAGTCGCTAGAGAAAAAATACGGGCGAAAATGGCGGCTATCATCAAAAGAATCCAAGTTTTACTCTCGCAGACACTGTGTGATCAAGTACGTACGCTTCTTAATAAACCAAGGCTCCACAGTTGAGAGTGCGCTCAATATTGCCGAAGCTGAGAAGGGAACAAGAAGCATTGATGCGTTCTCGAAGCACTTAAGCAAAAGAAAAATATCGTGAATATTAGTCTGCATAATAACAATCATTTTCAAAGCACAGTCAAAACATGTTCCCGTACTAAGTTTGCGCTCAACCATTATCGGCTCGCTGTTCTTTGTGGAAGAACTTGCTTCTTACTAGCGTCGTACAACAATAAGCTCCATACATCTGCAGTACAAAAAGAAAAACAATCGTCATTAATGTATGTCACTGTGTGTCAATACGTGTAACGTTTCGTATTGCACGAAGTTACCATTTCAAACCTGAGTCAGCGGCCTTCGTGTCGGAGCAAAATGATGGAGTATGAGGATCTGAAGTGCCTTCACATCCGTTAGCAATTCGGATACCGGGAACCTGAGAACTGTAGACGCTTCTGCGTGGCTCAAACCGAGCGTGCGGCTGCAATGCGGCCGCTAATGCTTGGCTTCGGTGCTCTTGAAGTTAAGGCAGCTCCTCATCGGCTCATACACTGGTATTGAGACCTTTGCGCTAATTGGGGCTTCTTCGTGGTTGTATCTCGCGGCTGCTTCGGCGTCAAGTGACGCACTGGCTCAGTGGCTGGAGTTTTGTTCTGTCCGAAGTGCTTGGGAGAGAATCGTACTTTGAGCCAATAAAAATGCTCTATTAAGGTCATGACCTTTCTCTGATATCTTTAAGATATCAGCC